TATCTCAGTAGGTGATGAAGTTAAAGCTGCCTTCAAGCTGCTCCCTGCGAATCCACACGAACACACATAGACACGACGGCGTATAAACATATGGCATTTACGTCCTCAGACACACACATGCTATGTTCTGTAAACAGACAAATACCTAGACAGGCACACATACACCCACGGAGGGGAGGCAGTTGCTGATGTGCCCACTGATGCTGAGCGAAGACAAATTGCTCCCTTTGAAGGCGAAGCCAAATCAAACGCGGAGTGTGATTTCTGTCACTGTGGTGTTTGGCTTTAAGGCTGCGAGGCTGACATCTGACAAAACATCCATGCAGTCACACCCAGGAAGTTGTGCACGCATGTATCCGCACACACACCCACCCACACACACACACACACACACACACGTGCACGGCCTGTTGTGAGGCTGGATTAAGGAGGAAGAGCTCTGTCAGCTCCTCCAAGATCCAGGCCTTTGCCATCAAAAAGCCACAAAAACCTTCTTTGCACATCAGTGCTCACCACCATTGTGTCTGGAGGCTCAAACTTTTTTTTTTTTCTTCTTTTAATGCAGCCGCGCAGTCGTTTAAGCAGTGGCTTTAGTATTTCAACTGGCCGTCCAGTAATCGCTTCTGAAAACATCCAGATGTGAGACGCTTGACCGAGATCTGACCACCGAACGTTACTGTTTAGTCTCTTAAAGTTAAAGTCAGCATTTCTAATCCAATAGAGGATTTTTTTTGTCACTACAGTGAATATATCTCCTCACAGTCCACCAGAAAACTTGAGTGTTTGTACACAGTCCTGGTTCTGAAAATGGGGAAACAAACAAAGTGTCTCGGACTAATCTGCACAGCACCGTCCCTGTTTCTTCCTACTGCACATGTGAGGGGAGAAAAAGGGGAGTGGGAGTACGAAGGAGGGAGGTAAATCTGACAAATCGTTAGCCTCATAGCATAATTGTCTAAGTAATTTTTTGGTCAAATTGAGATATTTGCCTAACTTTACTCTCCTATCACTTCTGCATCATCCTGTCTTTCTACCTATGTCATTGGCCAATCACATCTGGTTGAATGTACTGTTAAAAAATCAATAATAAATACCAATGTCATTTCTAAAAATTGTGTTTTTTCTCATTTCCCAAAAACATGAAAATATGACTTAGGCAAATATGCTATGAGGCTAACGATATGCTAACTATCTAAACATGCTAACTTGCTAAATATGTCTCCAGAATCACAAACTACACCTTTAATATCAAAGCAACCACCAGAATAATGGAGACATGATGGATGACATTATTATTCTGACCTCTGTATTCAGTCAGTTAGACAGTTTGAGAATCTTATTTAAAGGATGATTCGAAAAGCCAACAAGCTGTCAAGTTAATCATCAACTATTTTAATACTAAATAAATCAGTTAGAGTAATGATTCTAAGAAAAAAAGGCTAAAGGATCTGGTTACAGCTTATTAAATGTGATTATTTTCTGGGACAAGAACTTTAAAGATGGCATCTTGGACATTGTACAGACCGAAAAAATGAATCAAATAATCAAAAGCTAATCAATAGCTTCATTGACAATGAGGTAATCGTGAGCTGCGGCTCTCTTTAATGCTCTGTTTTCCTGGTTTTTACAACACAAACCTTAACGAAACAAAGCCTGCAGGAGTAAACTGGTGTGTAGGATGTGTGCGACCTATAGACTGTGAATAAAAGATGGACGGGGCCATTAAAATGTCACCCATTGCTTTGTGGACGCCTGTTTCCAAGCTTTAAGTTTAAAGAAGTTTGGAATCTCGCTCTTTTGAAATGATGAGCAGATGTGACTGGAAACTTGAGGACACTATGAACACCGATACCAGAATTAGAATTAGAATTAGGTAGGAATTGAGTTGGTAATTTGGTGCAACACTAACAAGTAGAGGATTATTAAGAAAAGAATAACAAGAAAACAGATGTTGTAAGTCAACAGACAGTAAGCTTTACACGTCACACAAACAGCAACTGGAATTATTAAGACTAAAAGGTAATACAAATATTTACAGTGTGGAGCAATATGCAGATTACTTACTTGAGAATGTACATAGTACATGATATATGGTATCTACGATACCCTGGAAGCGTACACAGCTTTATTATCTAATTTACTGTAAAATGGAACCATAAATCTTTATTTAACCAGGTGGGTTAATTAAGAACAAACTACAATAACAACCTGGCCATAACTGATAACATAAACAACACGCTGTATTGGAGGAGACTTGAAACTAGCAATTGAGACCATAAATTTATTAATAAAACGCTCTCTGAGGTGACCAATAAAGTAAGAAGTAGGCTCATTTCTTTATCGACTTCTATATAATCCGACCTCCAGAAGTCGCCCCCTGCTGGCTGTTAGAAAAACTGCAGGTTCCGCATCAGTTTCACTTTTTCAGACCTGGAGACTACGTTCATTCTTTATACACAACAAATGTTGTGACTGGTTCATTGAGGACAAGCTGTAGACCGTATGACAACAAGACAGCATATCGTATGTGTATCATAAACAATACGTAAAAGACGTAGCCTCCAGGTCTGAAAAGTAATTCTTCCTACCAGCCAGCAGGGGGCGACTCTCTGGTTGTAAAAAGAAATCTCATATTATAGAAGTCTGTGAGAAAATGAGCTCACTTGATTTGTTACCTCAGTAAACATCTTACTACCTAGTGGAAGGTTTCAATTGCTACTTTCAAGTCTCCTTTCATACAGTGTAATGTTAATTCTGCAAATTATTGTCCCATTTAGAGAAAAATACACAATACAGCAGCGTCTGTTTAAGGGTGTTTCTACCTTGTGAAGTCGTTGATTTACAAGATCTCGGTCAGATCAACCTCTCGTCTGCTTTCAAAAGACGACGCTGGCCAATTTCTAAACTTGAGGCTTCAAAACACGATGTAACGCCTATGTGTGGTCGCATCGACTCAATTTGCAGCCTGGTTTTTATGTCCCAATATGACTCACAATTTCTGCCCTGGAATCAGATTTGCCATTTCTTCTCCTCACCTCAGCCATTAGAGAGTTGCACAACGCTGACCTCTAACCTGTAGCAGCTTTCCTTTCTTTTCTACTACTATTTAGCTGTTGTTCTTTTTTTTTTGTGCCTAAGCATAAACAGCAGGTCCGAGACAATCGTAACAGACGAGAGCCAGAACGGAGGTCGCAGGAGCTTACCCTCCATATTTTAACACTATGCCGCTACAGCAGGACAGTAGGTGTCTTTGCCACAATGATATGCAGTGTTAATTGATTTAAAGCAGAATACATAAAGCCTGTGGGTGGCTGGGATTTGTGGCATCGTGGAGTAAAATGAAAAAAAAAAAGGAGGGAGCTAACAGGAGACGGCAAGTGACAGATAGAGATAATCAGAAAGACAGAAAAGCAGAGACAGCACAGTTGCGTCGGGCAGACTGTAAGGGGCAGAGCGGTCGCCGTGGCATTGTTGTGATTAAAGCAGCAAAGTTAAGTGTTCTTGTCAGCGGAGAGGTCTGCTGAAGAGACGTCACGGCTGCTAATTTACTGGTGCTCAACATTTTACCTATTTCCGCTGTCCTTGTGGCATTACCACAATGACATGCTTACTAATGTCTATTCAGTGCCAAGCAGGGATGGCAAAAAAAAAAACAGATGAAATGCTTGAGGAGATCTGAGATTCAAGTGCCTCTATTTGCAGTTTGACCTTCATACAGGCTTGCACAGGATTTCGAGTGTATGAAATTGACACAGGGATGTTTCCCTGCTGCCTTTGAAATACAGCAGCTGACACATTGTAACCAGACAAAACTGAATCACAGCAGCAGCAGCGTTCCCCAAAGCTGAATTTTAATAATCCCACATCCTCCCCTGTAAAAATTATCAGCATAAATACTATAATTCCAATTAAACTCAAGCTTCTTTGGCCTGTTAGAGGAATACGTTTTGACACCTAAACGGTTAATGGCTCGCGACAGTCTATTGAACACGGCAGAAGCTAAAAAGCTCTTATTCGACGGAGACCGGACCAAGCCGAAGACACTGTCTAATTATCCATTTCCAATTCTACCTGCAGTCTCATTTCGATGTATCACAGGCAGCCCCCAAAATAATTGCTTTTTTGCAATCTACAAGTTCATTTGCACACATTTTATTGATCAAAATGAGTCAGGAAAAAGAAAACAATCTAAACCTAAATTAAAAGCTTCATTAAATGTGAAAATTGGTCGGGGAATTGCGAACATCTGTTTCTAGCGCCCTGCGTCATAAACTCCAAGGTTAAAGCAAACACCAATTTATGGCTTGCAGACTCAGGCACGAGCCGGAGCTGTGAGCCACCTTCACAAACACAGCGTAAGTCAACAAGGCTTCAAAAGATTTCAGAGGAGATGTGAGGGCAGGGACTGAAAGCTCTTCCTGCCTCGTGTTTAGCGGGACCTGGGCGTATGTATCGCAGCTAAAGGCAGTGAAAAGACTAACCTGACACACTTAGAACCAATTCCAGAGCACAACACTACAGATGTTGCCGTTGTATGGTGGTTTCAGATCAGTGCGACACGTTCTTGTTTCCAAAGGATCCACTATAAGGGAGCATTGCAGGGTTTTCAGAGGCGCCCGTCTCTTTGCTGCTGCCGTTCTCTATGACCTTGGAGCAGCTTTGAAGTGAATTGGCTCTAGTTGCAAGTTGTATTTTAACAACCCCCTCGCTTGAGTGTTTGCGGCCTTGTTTATGACTGTTGGCATCCGAAGCTGCTCCGGTATACAGACAGAGGGCAGAGGCCCGTGCGTTTCATTCCAGCACTGCCCTACATAAGGGGAGGTCACAAGGAACAGAGAGCTAAGAGTACATTGATTTAATACCAAACACCCTCCCAGCTTGGATTCGCTTCTGTGCTTCGGAACAGATCTGCTTTTACTTAGCTGCTAAAAGTTATAGAGAGAGATTCTAAAGAATATCTGCCTCTGTAGTGCTCCAGCTGAGGTTGTCTATGTGCTTACCTCTGGGATGTCCCGGGTCGCTGAACTCGTACTTTCCACTCCCGACTGTCCGCAGCATCTGCAGCCCATTCGGACCGTCCTGATTGTCTACAGCTGAGGCTTGGCCATGTGCTGCCGCTGCTGCCGCCTGTCCGTTGGTCAGAGGCAGGGTCGGAGGTTGGATGAGGCTGGGGTGAGAGGTTAAGTGGCCATTGCCCATCATGCTGTGAGGGTTTGGATGAACCACCTGGTTGGCCTGGGCAGTGAGGGCGGACGGCGTCACCGTCGGCTGGGCTGAGGGGTATGGGGGCTGGCTGGGCATGCTCAGCACCATGGAGGGCGGCTGCTGGGTCGACTGCGGCGTCAGCTGGAAGTGCGCCGTCATGAGCGGGTGCTGCTGGGGCACCGGCGTCTGGATGGACGGGGTTACTCCGATGATGGGCGACTGCGCGGTCACGCTGTGGTTGAAGGAAGGCGGTTGGGGGAGGGCGTAGCTGTGGGGCAGCAGGCTGGGCTGGCTCACCGCCGCTACTGGTGCAGCCCAGGCCGGACCTGATGGAAGAGAGAGAAGTAGAGGAACGTATTTTCAGGCATGGGGTTTGTAACATTGCTGCTTCATCAAGCTGAACAACTAGAAAAATGTAGAAAAATCATAGACTGTATAAAAGATGGACGTAGCAACCGGCCCTGAAAAATGAAGCCAACCCGGAAGTGTCAAAAACCTGCAATATCACTACGTCCGCTAGCTGCTGGCTCCAAAAAGGCCTGGCTCCCATAGAAATGAATTGGAAAAGAAGTGATCACAGATCATGAAATACTGCATTCCTACAGCTCAGGATTTTTTCTTATTAGTTTTCATGGTCAAATCCAGAGATCAGGTGGCCAATCTGAAAATAAATCAATACTGAATTTTTTAAAAATCGTCAACATTTTTGGGGGCAAGGGGCGTGGCTGGCTTGATTGACAGTCGGCAGCGACCATACAGATGAAGCCAGCAGAAGGTGGTAAATGTGGGCGGGCAGAGAGGGCCTGCCTCTCAATCCGTCTGACCAATCGCTGCTCCTATGGCTCCGCCCCCCTCTGACGATTTTTGCGTCACTGGCTCCAAAAATCCAAGATGTCAGCCAGGAAGTAGCAAAACCCTGGCTTCATGTTCTCAATGCAGAAACCAACGGGTGACGTCACGGTAGCTACGTCCATCTTTTATACAGTCTATGAGAAAAACTGGTGTATTTCACTTAATTTTTTTTACATGCACGAGAATCGGTGGAATATCAGTATTTCCTGCTGACAGAAGAGTCTGTGCAAAAACATTCTGTCATTCATTCCTACATTTGAAGGAATCCTGTGCAATATCAGAATTTCTGCATTTGTAAGAATCTGTGCAATATCAACAGTACTTATGTATATTTCTTGTTTTCGACTGATATTCCTACATTAATGCTGTTATCACATTGCAAATTTCCCCACTGTGGGTTTAAAAAAAAACTCATCTTATCTGATAAAGTGACGGTATTCTGTCAATCAAACAAACATAAATCACTTTTAGTGTTCTTTGTGGCAACATTTAGACACAACACAGTGATGGAGACACTGTCTAAACACAGAGGAACCATAAATAATAGCAACCCTATCAAACACTAAATACTGTCTCAATAACTAACTTTATGATTTCCTAAATTCTGTCCATGTGTGATGATAATAAACTCTTTTAAAATTATCTCGACAGCTGTGACGGAGTTCACAACTCAACCCGAGGACGGTCGCTGTGCAATAAATGGTTTAACTGCAGCTTATAATCTGGGACTCTGTGTGTGATGGTTCACCTGCCTGAGCAGCGGTTTGCTATTAGAGTCTCACTGACTCTGGTTCCGTGTCGGGGAAAATTTATAATTAGAAGTAATTAACAAAGTTAAGTGAAGCCAAGTTAAGAAGCTAAGTCACTGTTTTACATGGGTAAATCTGCACAGCTCCCTCTCTCTCTTTGGAGATGCTAATATGGATCCTGCTGCTGTTTGACACGGCAGGTGTTTAATAAACTCGAAGGAAAGATTCCTACAAACAGCTGGAAGCAACAAACTGAACCTCGGCTCATGTTAACAGTTTGTCATAAGACTCATTACTTTTGGGTTTTAATTAATCTGACCTGGTACAGACTGTCCTCATCACAGCAGAGCAAAGTGAAAAAGCTGCTTCATGATTTTCAAATCGGGCGTCTTGCTCTCCTGTGATGTTTTGGACGAAATGTGGGAAAAAAAAAAAAGAGCTCTTTCCCAAATCACACGACTGGAAGCAAATCACTTGTGCGTGCCTATCCATTAATGTGCACATGCAGGTCAGACTTGTGTTGTAAAGCGAATGCGACTCAGGAAGTTTGCCGGAAAAAGCGATCAGTGTGCTCATTCAGTCACGTTAGCCGAACGCCTTCAGACGCCGTCTGATCAGCGGAGACGAGTTCTATTTATGCAGTTTTACATACAGCAGCGTCATGTGAAAGCGGAGATAAATGCATTTGTATACTGTATCTCGTTGGCGGTATTTTGGTAAGCCGCAGACAAAAAAAACTGGAAAACGAGGGCAGAGTGCTGATTTTAAGTCTGACATTAGATGATCAAACGGAGACAGAAAACAGCGTGAGAAGGCAGACTCCAGCATGAGTCTGTTCCTTACCACCACCACAACTGTCAGCGTGCTGCTCCACTTCAGTCCAAGTTTGTTTTTGACTTGGAGACTTAATATAAAACACAAAATATCCGAGGCGATGTACAGATCTGCGCCCAAAGTCAACATCATTATAAGATTAGGAGATGCATTTCGCTACAAGACGAAAAACAAATGGTTTTTTCCTGAAAGCGGAGGCTCGATGCACCGCGGCATTTGGCACCATTATCTGTACAGGAGTCTGTGTTTACCCAGGCACTGTGAGCCAATCATTTCTCTACCCTGAGGCGTTAGATGCTGAGGGTGTGCTGGGGAAGAACGTGGCCATATTGGACCTGAATGCTGCCTCCCTCATCCCTCCCCTCCCTCGCTCCTTCATCTCTGGCTTCTCCTGCCATAGTCCAAGCTCCAAAAATAGCTTTACCACTCTGCTAAAGGGCCAAAGGCTAAATCACAGCATGCAAAAAGCTAAAGAAAGAGGAGGGGGGGGGAGAGGAAAAAAAAAAAAAAGAAGAAGAAGAAGAAGTGCACATTATTCATGGTACTAGCCCTGCTGATATAATAGTCTGGACAGAGATGGATGGGGAGGGAGAGGGAGATAAAGACAGACAGTGGGAAGAAAAGAATGAAAGGGAAGAGGGTGGGAATAGAAGACCCGGGAGGAGAGGCCAGTTCACTTCATAATTCACATGTCATTGAGCTAATCGGCACCAACACTGCATTTCATTTCCCCTCTTTTGTAGCTCATCTTGATAAAGGATTCTAATCAAATGGGTTAGCATAATGGCTCCACGTCGCACAAAGCGTCGAGGCTTTCCAATGCGGCGACGGTGTTGATTAGAATTTGACGTAAATACTCTGCATCTGTCCTCCATGTTTTTGTCCTTTTTTTTTTTTCAAACCAGAAAAACAACTGCAGGTAGCACTGTTGCCTCGCAGCAAGAAGGTCGCCGGTTCGCGTCCCGGTGAGGATCTTTCTGCGTGGAGTTTGCATGTTCTCTGCAGCGTGGGTTCTCTCTGGGTTCTCCGGCTTCCTTCCACACAGTCCAAAAACATGTTGAGGTTAATTGGTGATTCTAAATTGTCCAAAGGTGTGAATGTGAGTGTGCTTGGTTGTCTGTCTCTAAGTGTAGCCCTGTGATGGACTGGCGACCTGTCCAGAGTGTCTCCTGCCTTCGGATAGACTCCAGCCCCCCGCGACCCTAATGAGGATTAAGCGGTGTATAGATAATGGATGGATGGAACCAGAAAAACATTTAATAAATTCGACAATTTTACCACCATGACCCCGTGACGACCTACAGGCCTCGACAAAGCCAAGCATTAATATTAAATGTATGCCGCACCTCCGAATTAACCATTAAACCGTTATTTATTTACAGTTTGAGTCTAGGCGCGGCATCAAACGATAACTATTTCCTGCACTAAAGTTGAAACAAAACTTCTCTTTTCAAAGACAAACTTCTTTTCCTTTTTTTTATTATTTATTTTTTATATATATAACAGACACAACAGTGAAGTTTCCTGTTGAAAGGAGTCCGTTGATTAATTCTGGCACAGTTGGCAGAGAACTTTCTGGCAAACACAGTTCAGTGAAGTGTGGAGAGGAGCTGGCTCCATCGCAAACGCCAGTCACAGTTTGGAATAGCGCGCACACGCAAATCAATATGCAACACTATGCTTTGGATTTGAGTGTCATATGCGGCGGCGTGCTGGGTCGGTGACATCTCACTCGCATCGCGCTTCGACTCCCGAGTCTGTGGTGTGGGTGGATGGAGCTGCTGTGTCGGGTGGGGAGGGAAGGCAGCTGGCGAAAACCCTCCTCGTGGCGAAGCATCTTCTCCCACCGCAACCCCGAGCAGCACCTCTTCCTCCCATCAAACCGTTTGATAAATAATCCACGAGGCCCCCATCTTTATGTAAGCTATGCGGAGAGGTTTTTTTTTTCTAATTAGCCGAACAGGGGTTGGAACATGTTTTCATGCTTTGCTGCAGCGGAGTAGCAGCTGTCTGTAATAATCTGGATTTGTTGAGCCAGAATTTCCACTGGAACAAGCTCTCGTGTGCCAGTATTATTCTTAAATGAGACACATTTGTGGATGAGCAGGAGGCAGAGGCCAGCAGAGCAATGGAAGGAAATTAACAGCTTTAGGGCAGAGCCATTCTGGGTGAGTTCATTACAATAAAGGGTAAAAAACTCCCGACTTAACTCTTTAATGTCGGGTTCGTGCGCCAAGCTGCTGCTGCTGCTGCTGCTGCACTGTGTTTTTAAATGGCATGAATAGAATAAGGTCGACATCTAAATTAGACCCGGTGGAGATCATTTGGAGGACTTTTGCTATATAGGTTTAATTGAGACTAAATTAGCTCGACACAATAACATTAACAAGGACAATAAAACGAGGGTGGTGGGGGGGCTGGAAGGGGTGTTTTTCACCCCCCCAACTTCTTGATATCAAACTGACATTTCTGTAATAATATGCGTAATTAAGCAGGTTTATGTAGAGTCGATGTTTGCGGATGTACATTATGCATGAATGTATACGGGGGAGAGTGCACGCGGTGGAGGGAAGCGTGTATTTTATGTAGGGCAAGGCAAGTCAGGATGCCTCATTAGCATCCGGCTGCGAGTGTAGCTGGCCGCGGCCGTCTGGGGCGTAGCGCATCAGTGTGTGGTCCGCGTGTGCATCTGTGAATCGCAGGCATACTGATGATGTAAAACTCTGTAAACTCGCATCAAATGGAGCCCAGTGTACGTATACATGTGTGTGTGTGTGTGTGTGCTTCATTACCGGTGGGTTCGCCGTCTCGATGCTGCTTGGCGGGAGGCTCGTCCGTATCCCATGGTGTGAGCTGGTTGATGGGCGTCTGTCCCCACCTCACCCCCGGAGCGAGTAGCAACCCCGGGGCCTGGTTGTCCCCCGGAGAGAGTCCGGAGACCTGCAAAGACGGAGACGAGGAGCTGATTAGGTTCAAGGGAAAAAAAGGGAAAGTGTGCTACAACTCTGCGCTCTTTACGTTTTGCTTGTTTAGGAATCAAACGCGATGTTTCATCTTACAGCGTTGAATGAAAAACGCAACAGCCATCTGAACTTGTTCTTTAAGGTCTCCAAATGAGCCATGATGATGGAGTGTGCTGTATAATTAGCAGTGAGTGAGTGATGATTACAGCCTATATATAATGGGAGCAAGAGGAGGGGGGGGAAAGTCTTGTTCACAGCCTCAAGAGTCTTTGCAGAGAGACCAATATTTCTTTTTTTTTTTTATATATATATACACTAATAACAATTAACTTGGCTGTGTGAGCTACATTCAAATTCAGATCCTTCCCCAGAGATTGTGTATATCTTAATTTTGTATTGAATTAAACATTTTGTTCAGTCAAGTGAGATAATAAAACCCCAATAGAAGGAATGAATTTTTAAAAAAAAGAAATCTTTTTGCAAGGACGAGAGAAAATAAATGTAAAAAAAAAAAAAGAAGGTGACAATGTGTGCAACTTCACTTCGAAGTTCCCAAAGCCTTTTCTGTGCACCCACATCTCTAATATTTTGCTCTGGTAGGGGAGTAAGAAATGTTATCAGGCAAGCACAGGCTGATGAAAACACAGGGTCAATCACCACTGGACCCCTGAGCAATATTCGCCTCTCCCTATCTGCAGTTTGGACGCTCGGTCTAACAACCAGGCAGGGAGAGGGCAGAGCCGAGCCTCATTCCCCTGCTCGCCCCAGCCAGCCTCCTGAGTTAATAGAAAAGACCTGGTCACCAGGCCCCTCCTGTGTCCTCCTCGCTGATCCCTCCATCCCTCCCTCCCGGCCCTCTATTCCATTATCCCCCCCTGACCCGGTGTCCACTTCATCAAGCACGCCATCATGCATTCCAACAGCTGTGTCGACAAAGAGCGACAGAGCGCGGCGGCCGACCGACCGCGCGGCCGCAAAAAAAATGCAATCCAAACAGTTCGGCGAATAAATATGCAGCTTTACATATTGGATCGATCCCACTTGTGGGGAAATTTCCGTTGCTGCTTTAGGATTGAATTATCACAGCTTTACAGGCGGTACCTCATAGGGACGGACCAGTTATCGGCCTGATGGATTATCGGGGCAGATATTTGGCATTTTACATCATTATGTTTATTAACCAATCATCAATTGATGCAGTCGCCTCTCTGTGGTCTCAAAAATGCCTCTCAAACAAAAACAGGAAACACAAACTGTTGCCACAAACCAGGAAGTTAGCTTCTCTCACAGTGGCTAAGGCTATGCTAACAGCTAGCGGCTAAGTTAGCAGGCAGCCAGAGATTACCCTGAATCCTGGGCCTGGGCAAGATCTGGACCTTTAGTGGACAATAAAAGTGATAGAATAGTAAAAGATTAGGAAAATAGAGAAGAACAACAGAAGTAGCTGCACGAGACGAACTGATCAATCTCAGTCAATCCCACATAAACAGAGGAAAGCATCCTAATTTAGTCTCTCCTATTTCTGTTTTACATATTTAGTGACAGTCACTCTTATTACTGAAAAAGCCTAGTTATGACAGGTTCCTGCTATCACATGCTGTCAGAACATTAGATTTAATGTATTATCGGCTCCAAGTATCGGCCCTCGGCCTTTCTTGACCACCAATAATTGCCGCTGGTATCGGCCCATATCGTTCACGACCCTTCGTCTGTAGTCACCCTGTGGTATCGGCAACGTCTCTGAACAAGAAACACAAGCGAAACACAGCGCTAATGCTACGGTAACAGCTAACAGCTAACAGCTAACAGCTAAGTTAGGAGGCAGCCAGAAATGATCCTGAAACAGAATCTGGGCAAACAACAACTAATAAAGTTTTAAGGTTTGGACGTTTAGTGGACAATAAAAAAGATAAAACAGCGAAATATTAAGAAAACAGAGAAGAACAGCAGATGGAACTGCAGGAGAAGAACAATCTCAGTCGTCCCCACATAAACAGTTATTTTAAGTTAAGTTAAAAGTTATTTTAATCACTCCTATTTCTATTTTACAGATTCAGTCATGGTCATCCTTATTAAAAAAAGAAGCCTGGTTATGAATGACAGGTTCCTGCAATAACGCTGTTAAAACATTAGATTTAATGTATATCGGCTTCAAGTAGCAGCCATTGGTCGTTCTCAATCCCCAATAATCAGCCAATATACCAGTATCGGCCCATATCGTTCGATGTCTCGTCGAACTCTTTGGTTTGGTTCTAGCAATTCTTATAAATAAAGA